GGAAGCGAAGTGGGAGAGAGATAGGGGCAGGATCGGGAAAGGTCTCCGAGTCAGGATTCAAACTCGGGACATCTGTAGCGCAACAGCACTGTATGTCAGCCCACTGCCCACAAGGTTATCGGCACCTCAACTTCATAATTTGTAAAAGTTGTGCTAGTTTGTGAAGATTATCCTGATGAACAAAACATGTAAGAATAATACATTTTTGTTGGCCACAGAGCTTATTTTCTGCAATAATCCAAAGGTGAATAGGAAAACACCATTAGCTTTATATATATATATATATATATATATATATATATATGGTTCCAGAGTAATTAGTCACATGCCATTTATAGCATCATTATTGGCTCAAAATAAAATATCCGAGTGGGGCATTCGTTAGTCTAGCAATTGCCATTGTGATGTTTGGGAATGTATCGGCACCTCAACTTCATAATTTGTAAAAGTTGTGCTAGTTTGTGAAGATTATCCTGATGAACAAAACATGTAAGAATAATACATTTTTGTTGGCCACAGAGCTTATTTTCTGCAATAATCCAAAGGTGAATAGGAAAACACCATTAGCTTTATATATATATATATGGTTCCAGAGTAATTAGTCACATGCCATTTATAGCATCATTATTGGCTCAAAATAAAATATCCGAGTGGGGCATTCGTTAGTCTAGCAATTGCCATTGAGATGTTTGGGAATCCGAATGTATAGCTTTCTCCAGGAATCACAGACCTCCTTGGTTTGAACAAACAAAGCCACAGTGTTTACACTTTTGAGGAAGCCTACCTACTTATAGATTACTTATAGCTGACTGAGAAAGCTGAGAAAGGTGAAAGTAAATGAATGTTCACCTTCAGTGAGTGATCAGGAAGACTTTAAAACAACAGCTGTCCAGACACAGAGACTGCTTACTATTTATTTGTTTTGATTAGCAGCGTTTAAGCTTGTTGTGTCTGAACTTGCTAATATTCAGCGAACCACAACCGCGTCTTTCCAAGAACAGGAATGTGAGCTCTCTGCTCCTCCTCCAGACTGACTAACACGCCGTTGGTCAAATGGAAAATTAGCTGGTCCAGTTTTATGGGGTGTCTAGACATGTGTCCAGCGCAGCTGGTATCTATTACCCCGGTCTTAAAACACACACACACACAAACCCTGCCTTTACTTCAAATATGATCCTTTCATGTTGCTCAATATATGAGTGATCTGATCACAACTTACGCTGCATCATTAATTCATAATTTCCTTGCAGTTAGTACGGCACTCATTGGATTCTAGAGAACTTTTTACAAAAGGTGAAACCAAACAGGGCAAGTCACCGCAGTGGCCCTTGACCCCTCAACTTCTGCATTCCAGCTAGGAAACACATGGTCAAACAACTAATGCTTGCATTAGCTGTGTGTGAAGGATCTGAGCGCACGCACACACACACACACACACACACACACACACACACACATTGTGTTTCCATGTTTTATGGGGACATTCCATAGGCGTAATGGTTTTTATACTGTACAAACCGTATGTGCTATTGCCCTACACCAACCCTACAACCTTACAGGAAACTTTCTGCATTTTTACTTTCTGAAAAAAACTCATTCTGTATGGTTTATAAGCTTGTTTCCTCATGGGGACCTCAAGAATGTCCCCACAAGGTCAAAATAGACTAGTATTACTAGACATTTGGTCCCCATAACGTGATAAATACCAGGTACACACACACAAAGCTGTAGAGAACAGGCTTGTTTTAATCCAGTTTGTCTCTTGAAGAAGAAAAAAGAAGTTACACTGTATGTCATTTCTAATGTCCTTCTATAAATCTATCATATAGAAAAAACACATGCTGTCAAAGACAGAGAAATCTAATTATGTTCTTCAGCTAACCAACATTTTACGTGGTTATCTATATTGTAATTATAACCTCCAGTCATGTTTTTTTTCCTTCATAAAAATGATGACATTTCCAATGCAAGTCACGCTGACTGATAGCAAATATCCCAAATGAAAGATCTACGAAAACATTAAGGCATTAAAAAAATTAAACACGATTTAAATAAAGCGATTTATCAAATGTAGCCTATGCAGTATAGTTAACAGGGAAAACAAATATCTTTAACTTTTTTTTTTTTTACTTCGTTTGAGGATTCAATCTGGACTTCAAAACGCTCTTTAAAGTTCAAAACATGAAAACTTATATCAAAGCGTAAGAAAAGTTATGAGTTCGGTTACCTCTCAGATCCACTGGCGTTATCTTAACCTTGCCAAAAAACGCCGATCTCATGGGTCTCATGCCTGATGGAAAGCAGCCGCGGGCCTGAAAGGGTTTGTCGTCAATAGATGCGCAGGAACGCAATCAGCTGCGCAGTAAGAAAGTCACTAAACCAACGTCACATCTGCTGGAGGAGAGGGAGGGCCACTTTCAGTGTAGCCTGTATACAATAACCAAGCCTCTTAAAAGACATGGAAACCTTTATAATTCAATTTGGGTAGTGGATATTATTATCCTTGAGAGTTGTGGTTTTGACGTTCTACCATCTAAATTTTAATGGATTACTATATATACACTATATAGTATAGAATTACTAAATGTATTCACACACACACACGTTTATTTTGACCATAATTGAAATATTGAATTGAATAATACAACCCAGTGCTGGGTGAAATATGGACAAACCCAGCAATTGGGTTGTTTTGACCCAGCGGTTGGGTTACTACCCAGAAGGTTGGGTTAAACATTTAACCCAACCGCTGGGTCAAAACGGCCCAATTGCTGGGTCTGTCCCTATTTTACCCAGCACTGGGTTGTATTTAACCCAGCATTTTTTAGAGTGTAGTTCTTAAATTTATGTCACATGACTATTTAAAATGAACTAGTGTAGGGAAAATAAACAAACAAAACATATTGACACATTATAACTTGTCACAGGACCTAAGAGCTTTCCTCTTATATATTCTTGCAAATTTGATCCCACCATCCTGAATGTAATAATAATAATAATAATAAAAAAAGATCTTGTTTGGTCTATACATGTCAACTATCCAAATACACACTCTAAAAAATGCTGGGTTAAATACAACCCAGTGCTGGGTAAAATAGGGGCAAACACAGCAATTGGGCTGTTTTGACCCAGCGGTTGGGTTACTACCCAGAAGGTTGGGTTAAACCGCAAAACAGCCCAATTGCTGGGCTTGTCCCTATTTTACCCAGCACTGGGTTGTATTTAACC